AAATACTCCGTTCTTGTAATAAAGTCAAGTTTCTTTTATTTCATAACAAACTACCTAAAAAAATCAGTTTTTTCTCAATTTTGGATCAAAATTTATAACCATCACAAATTGGTAAAGTAATTTGAAACACAAAGTGAATCGGATACATGTTTTGTCACGTCTTTTTAATTGTCTCTTAACCCTCGCCGGACCTATTGGTTTTCTACATACGCGCCGGCCGAGGGGGGGGGGGGGGGCGGGTACCTACGACCCCCCCCCCCTCGCCGTTTCGCCCCTGGTGGAGCTAGCGCGTCGCGGAAAAAACGAGCGTGTGCGCCGTTACGAGACGCAGAGATTGGTACACGATTTTAAGGTCCTAGGTCAACCGGTGACCTCTGAGGTCAGGTCAAGTGCCCCAAGGTACGGTTCCGTTTTTGGTGAATAACTTCGCAAAAAACGGCCGCAGAGCGCCGATTTTGGCAGCATCGTGTTCGTCTCGCTCAGGCGCGTCGAATGATATACTTTTTGTCCGGGTCAGGTCAACTTGGGGTGTTGACCTCAGGTCAAGGTCAGGTCAGCACCCCGAGGTCATGAAGTTGGTCGAAAGAGGTCATGTCGCATATCATTCGATTCGGCAGGTCTTCCTGAGTCCATTGGTGGCTTTCCCGACCCGCTAGCTCAATTTGATCAAGAGTTATTGACGAAAAACTAATATGACCTTGATGACGTCATAAATGACGTCACGCAAGGTCAACATTGCAAAAGTGACGCATCTAACCTTGCAAGGAGTGCATCAAATCACGATTCTGTGTGCTTGAGATAGTTGGAGATCGTTCCCGGCGCCAGAATAGCTGTTTTCATTTTTCCCCATTGACTTATAATGGTGAGGTCACAAAAATGACCTGACCTCATATGACCTTTAGGAAAAATCCGAGATATACAAGTTGTGGAACTCATAATGGATGCTAGATTCTGCAAGTTTCATTTCCCTGTGACATCTCCTCTGGCAGTGAGGGCGTTGCGAAGTTGCGACATCTGAAGACCGTGCAGAGGTTCACTTATGACGTCATAGGTCAGTGACCTGACCTGACCCAAAAATGCGGTTGGTGTCAAAAGATCCGGCTTGGATCAAAGGTCAGGTATGCCAAGTTTCAGCTTTCTATCGCCAGCTGTTCGGAGCTATCGCGAAAAAAACCCTATGGGGGGGGCGGCACCCGCCCCCCCCTCGGCCGGCGAGGGTTAAGTTATGACCCCATTTCACCACACGCAAGTGGCAGAAATGACAATGATCAGCTAACGCATTTTTCTTGGCCGAAGTCAGAGCGCGCGGCCCGACGCACCACCACCGCACCACAAAGTAAGTATGAGCAGCGTATTTGGAAATTCCGACCTCGACGAGCATCAGAAGCCACCTAACAGGCGTGTTTGAAACCGCAGGAGATGATGATGAACGGGTTTATCGAAACTTGATTGGATGAGCCTATCGGTAATAGCGATTTTAGTGTGTGCATTTATTGTTCGTAGTGGTGTGAAATGTGGTTGGGGTACGACCGACAACCCGTCGGGGCGAATTTCGCACTGAGGTACTCAAAATTTGAAGAATTTAAGACGTTTCCATGAGTTTTGAAGGTATGGATAAGTTCTAAAAATCTGGTTCTCCTTATCCGGGTCATTAACTCCATATGGTCCAGGAAAGCTGGCACACTATAATAACTTTAACTACGCTAATCTTTTCTACGTTACCGGTCGTTTGCTTACTCATCTGATAATTTCGCCGCTCTTCTTTCCTGTGGTTATTACGACTCGCATTCCTGCTTTTCCAGGTTTTAAGCAATGGTGTCAACCCCCTGAAATTAGGGGTACTGATATGCCTATCTCGCTTGTTCTGTTTCGCTGTTTCATCTTGGTTTGATCTGCTTGCTCTTGGGTGGACGTTTCCAAATTGAGCAATGCTGTCAACTGTCAAGCCCCCTGACGGATGTTTAGGTAAGGAAAGAATATAAAAACATAAATTTTGAGATAAGATATACACACCTTTCACATTTTCTTTTTTTTTTTGAAAACCCCAGGTAACAGTTTGATGGACCCTGTGTCATCTGAATCCTCTCATGCAAAGAAATGGAATCAAGCTTTAAAAAAAACTAAGCTCTTGAGAGCGATTGCCGTATATTTCAATGTTTTTCATCGAAATCGGCCAAACATGACGTCACTCTGACGACACTTTCGGCCGATCTGTGGTACTCACTAAGTTGTTGTTTTCACACAAGGTTTTAAGTCGATGCAGCCGAAAGTACTGAACGTGTCGCGTCAATACACCGAGCGGTTTAGAAGTTATTGCAGAAAAACAGGAGGGGGCTTTGGATAGCCCCTTCCCCCCGTGGGGCGGTGGTTAAGCGAAAATGGCGTTACACATCAGTTAACCATCGCCGGAACTATTGGTTTTCTACATACGAGCCGGCTAAGGGAGGGGATGCGACCCCCCTCGCCGTTTCGCCCCTGGTGGAGCTAGCGCGTCGCGGAAAAAACGAGCGTGTGCGCCGTTACGAGACGCAGAGATTGATACCCTATTTTAAAGGGACTGTCCCACCTTTGCATTAGTTCTGAGTTGAGATAGCCAAGTTGGCGGCCAGGTTCAGAAACCACTATACATATATCCTGGTCGCAACATCCTCAGTTTCGTGGTGTTAAAGAAATTCGTTCCCTTCATTTAAAAAGTGGGCCTTAGTTAAGGCCCTATCTCTTAACTACCCTCGCCCCGTTGGGGGGGCATTTTGCCCCCCCCCTGTGGTTTTTCCTGAATAGGAAGAAAACGGCGGCGCCCAGCGCCGCCAAATTTTCAGTACCTTCCCGGGCATCAATTTGACACCTCCACACCAAATTTCAAGTCTTAGGTCACCTTAAGTCAGGAGTTATTGAGGTCAAACTGAGGTCATGTTCGAGCAAAAATGAGCAAAAAACATGCAATCTTGAAACGCTCACCAAATCTACAGTTATCAAGCAATTTCAAAGTTCTTTATATGGTCTGGTAGACAAACAGCGGCGCTACAAAACTGCTATCTCGGATTTTCAAAATTTTGGTTTTTGACCCTCAAAAATTCAAAAAATGATTTTTTAAGAAAAACTAAAAAAAAAAATGAAAATATTTTCCGAAGTACGAAAAAACCGGAATATATGTGATAGTCCCTGTGCTCTTCTATATACATACCAAATTTCAGATCGATATCTCGTTTTTTGGCCAAGTTATAGCAAAAAAACTGTTCAAAAATGATGACGTCAAATTTTTTAACTCAATTTTTAGCGATTCTAGACCACGTGCGGCAAAACAAAGACCGCCATTGAACTCCCCGTGACGAGCTGCATCGATTCGATACCCATTTTATGCAAAAATATCAACTTTGAAATTTGACCTAATTTGACCTGACCTTGACCTGACCTTGACCTGACCTTGACCTGACCTTGACCTGACCTTGACCTGACCTTGACCTGACCCTGACCAAAACGTGACCTAAGGTGGCCCCAAAGGCTGCCTGACCCACATAATCGCATTTGTCATGTAAAATGGGCCATAAAACATGTATCACACGACACTTTCATATTGTGACCCCCCAGTGACCTGACCTCTGTGACCTGACCTCGTATCAGTGACCTCAAATAGCAAAATATGTGTTTGAAGAACATTTCCCCATCGATGATTTTCAATGAAATGCATTTTACTCGATTTTACAACGCATTTCTTGAAATGCCTGTAAAGGGTGAAAATTGGACCTTTGACCTGACCTGTGACGTCATCGGTTTGACCTAGGTCAATGAAATTGGGTCACAAGGTAGTTCCCTGATGGGGCTATCCAACACTGTTTGCCGCTTGTCGCTAGGTTGCGTGGTTCTCGAGATCTTAGGGGGGGGGGCCAAAATGCCCCCCCCCCCCCAACGGGGTGCGCTGCTCGGCAGAGCCCAACGGGGCGCGGGTTAACGGCCATTTGATGACATCATTACTCATTTGCCTTTTAAACGCCTGTCACACATTCAAGTGAAGTATCACTTGATTTACGAATAAGCCAATCAGAGACACTCTTGTTATTGTATCAGCCGCGTCATATTTGAGAGCAAATATATTTGCTGCCAAATTTCCCCTCACATTGACATGAAGTAAATCCTTCATTTCGTTACAGATTCGATATAAATGACGTCACGATGAAAAATGAAAGTCGCAATATCTAAAAAAGCATAAGATGAAAACGCGTAAAAACTTGCAGAATTCGTCAAAATATCATGAGTAACATTTTCGAATCCTAAACGGTACTTTTTTGAAGGTGGGATAGTCCCTTTAAGGTCCTAAGTCAATCGGTGACCTCTGAGATTAGGTCAAGTGCCCCAAGGTACGGTTCAGTTTTGGGTGAATAACTTCGCAAAAAAAAAAAACGGTCGCAGAGCCGCGATTTTGGCAGCATCGTGTTTGCCTCGCTCAGGCGCGTCGAATTATATCCTTTTTATTTGGGTGAGGTCAACTTCGGGTGTTGACCTCAGGTCACGGTTAGGTCAGCACCCCCAGGTCACGAAATCGGTCAAAGTAGGTCATGTCGCACATCATTCGATTCGGCCATGTCTTTTTATTTCATTTCATGAATGACGTTTTCTTGCATTCCGCCCCAGGGCCCAGCAGGCCGACTTCGTCACTGCTCTCTGATTCGGTAAGTCCACCCTTTCCGGCCTCTCTCCTCTTCTCCCGGCCGGCTCCATCGATCTCCCTCTCTCCGGCGGGAGGGGGAGGCCTCCCCGGGGAACACAGGAGCAGCTGCCGCCGCCGCTGCACGGTGCGCGAGCGGCCGATCCCACACCGGAAAATATTTATCTGTCCAGGTTAGACCGACCGGGCTGCGGCCAAACACGCTAGCTGATTGGTTGTTTGCACACTGAGTGGGCGGAGCGACTGGGCCGGCGGCTGGCCGCTCTCCGCCAATCAGCGGCCGGCAGCGCCATCACGGGGCGGGCCGCTGTGTGGGAAATATTTGCCGGGCCGGGGGCGTGCCATAGATACCAACAGGGCAGGTCTGTGTCAGTGTGCGACTGAGCGGGGACAGACGCGGTCGCTTGGGTCTCACTGGTCGTGTCTCGTATCTGTGAAATCAGATCAGAGCAGAGTTGGACTGAGGAGCCCGGCAGCAGTTTTCAAACCGTTAGAGGAGCAGCGGTGCCAGGTCGACAGTTTGCAGGAGGGAGACCGGCAGACTCAGCTATCACCGCCATGGAGCCGCGCAGTGAGGTGAGCTCCGACCCGAGCCTGCGACCGGCCGGGCCCGGCGGCCACGAGCTGGTGCGGCCCGAGCTGGCAACGGGCCCGCCGCCTCCCGGACAGCTGCTCTTCAACCCGCTCAAAATGGGCGGCCTGCCGGGCCTGGAGCCGCTGCACGCGCTGCCGCCGCCGCAGCTACACCCGCTGCAGCTGCAGCAGCAGCTCTACTCGCTGGCGCTGCAGCAGCTGCAGCAGGCGCGCCAGGCGGCGCCGCCGCCGCCCTGGGCCGCCGTGCCCTACCCGTACAAGCTGCTCGACCCGCGGCTGGTGGCGCTCTGCCGGCCACCCGAGGAGCCCAAGCCGCAGCACTCGTACATCGGCCTCATCGCCATGGCCATCCTCAGCTCGGCCGAGCGCAAACTGGTGCTCAGCGACATCTACCAGTACATCCTGGACAACTACTCTTACTTCCGCAACCGCGGCACCGGCTGGCGCAACAGCATCCGGCACAACCTCAGCCTCAACGACTGCTTCATCAAGGCCGGCCGCTCGCCCAACGGCAAGGGCCACTTCTGGGCCATCCACCCTGCCAACGTGGACGACTTCCGCAAGGGCGACTTCCGGCGGCGCAAGGCGCAGCGCCGCGTCCGCAAACACATGGGCCTGACGGTCGAGGACGAGGACTCGATGAGCCCGCCGCCGCCGCCGGCGCCCGCCTGGGCCGCGCTGCCGGCGCCGACACCCCGCCGTCGCCAGTTCGACGTGGCCTCGCTGCTGGCGCCCGACGAGCCGGCCGAGCCGCGGCACCGGCCCGAGCCGGCCGAGCGCGAGCTTGACGTGGTCGGCGAGGAGGGCGCCGTCGAGTCGCCGCCGCCGCCGCCGCCCGGGTGTGCCGAGCCGGCCGCCAGTCCCGACCGCAGCAGCGACGCCGAGATCACCGCCGCCGCCGCCGCCGCCATCGCCGACGGGCCGGCGCCGCTTAGCTTCTCAGGGTTCCGACCGGCCGAGGCGCCCACACCGCCCTGAGCGAGCGGTTAGAACCCTGAACGGGTGTTGGAGTTGGTTTGAGTGTGGGGCGGCTCTGCAGACGGCCGGGGCAGAGACCGGGACCATCGGACAATACTATCCTACCCAGAGACGGAAAGGTTCTGCCGGTGATCGTCGGCAGAACCTTTCCGTAGGAGCCGACGCAGTGAAGTCGAGCACCGCCGCTGTCGACGGGCTGTCGACGACGCTGTCTGTAGGCGACAGTCCCAGCTCTGCCGGTCTGGTTAGCCGGACTCGGCTGCCCCACCCGGTCTGCCCCGGCCGATTCGCACTATGTCGGGCACAGTGTCTGTTCTATGGCCTCTATGTATCGAACACCAGGTGCGGGTAGCGGTTCTAGGCTGCTCGGTACTAAATACAGGGACCGAGACCAAGCGGAATCAACGCCCCAGTGTTAGTCAATGCTTGAGTGCAGCGCGGTGAAATGTCTATGTATATGTCTGCACAGAGACGGGGAAATGTGGGTATTTATTACTTCTGTTGTCACGCTGTTTATGAAGAGGGTAGTGTATGTTACCTATTACCTGAATTATGTGACACTTATAATTATTTTCGCATTGCTTATCAGTTATCTAACTGCAAAATCATTCCAAAGTTTGAATGAGCAAAACTACATATATCGCATTCCGTTGTGCCATACTGATAAAAATGTGTCCAATACCATAAAAATCGGTATGTGATGTATCGTTATGCGTAAAATTATTTGGTCTTAGCGTCGCGCCAATTCGAAGTATCATAAGAAACCGCCACGATATTTTCTGCCGGTGCCGTCGAGTTGATTGTAGATTTGGCGATCGCGCTTGCTCGTGTTTCTCGGTCTGAAGAAATGATTACCTATGTGGTTGGATAAATAATATACGGTATGTGGATAAAGTAGTTTTACTAAAAGATTTGTTGGCGAGCTAGAAGAATACTGGTGGTCCGTGGTTGCACTTATAACACCTATAACTTTAAAAAAAAATATTTAGTGTTTAAAAGGTCATCTAGTTTACCCTTCAAGACAAATTATTAGTTTATTGAATGTATACATGCTCGCTGCAGTATGTATTTTCGCACATTCAGTGCTGTTTCATGGATTTATGCTAAATACAATTTGCTCTCAAAATACGATCGAGCAGATATCACAGCATGATTATTTTTACAGCAGCTCGTTATTCCTACAATCTCTATGATTGGTTTTACAGACACTTTGCAGACAACACTGATAGCACTAAACATTTCATTTTGCTTTCTTTTACATATTTAAAGTCAATCAACCAATAATAGGCAGTTAGGAAAAACACCAGTTCACTGATTCGGATACCATTTCTTTCAAAATTAGCATCTATGTGTAGTTGTATAGTAAAGGTGAATTACTCAATACAATTTCCTTATTATATTGGCTGATATATCAGCTCATGATAAAGTCCAGCAAACTATGGTGGTGATAAAAAAACACCATGTCGGGCCTATGTCAGGGATATCGCTGTCCTTTTTTGCGCATAAATTGTCATCGGTTATGAGTCACAAAGGCCTCGTACCTTTTTAATGAATGTTGACAACCTCAACAGGCAGCATCGCAAAGATCGCCTTTCATGGTATTAGCGGTATTTGCGGTACTTACAGAGTTAATGGTGTTTCTGATTATAACTGCGTGTACCTAACTAGGTCGGATTTTGCAGATTCTGGACTCTAAACAATAAAGACAATTGTAAGGAAGTACATGTCAATGTGCTTCAATCAGCTTTTAGGTAGCTTTTCAAAGCTTTTACAATAGAAGTAAAGTCATCTTTATCTAAATGCATAGGCGCGGGAGCCGGGGGGCAGTGGGGACAGCTTGCCCCCCCCCCACTCTGGGGCCGTGGGGGTGGTGCCCCCACAGCTTTGAGACGGAATACCACACTTTTTTGCAAATGTTTTTTTTTTTGTTGAAAAAGCCAAGGGATGAAAAATAAGTGGCCTAAAACCGGTGAGAAAACTAGATTTGGGGTACCCTAGGTTGATATCTATTATGGTGTGACCCCCCCCCCCCCAGTCTGAAAGTAGTTCCCGCGCCCCTGTCTGAATGTCTAATATAAAGAATCTATATATAAATGAAAATACGACATATGTTACAGCTTATATAAAAGTGCGCAACCTATATCTGCTGAAGGGTACCTATATTTTTTTTTTCGTTTCAAGCAGTTTGATGCACCATTTACAAATGATATTGATGTAAATTCCTTTGGTGTGCACTGTGCACTGATTTGAATTTGATATATGTAAGCTTGGTTCAATTTACTGATTCCAGATGATTGTTGAAAAGGTATGCAATCCAATTCGACCGCGGTATAGATCCGACATTGTATAAAAAATGGAATATGTAAAATGCTCTGTTCGATCCTGAGATGCATGTTAGGTTCCTTAGTTTATTCTCTATAGCTTGATTGATGCATGAAAACTTTGCTTTATGATCAACCGGTCATACTGTTCCGCACATCGCTAGTGTCACAAAGTCATATTTTGCCAAATGGCTAAAAACAATATTTCAAAATGCAGCGATCACCCAAACTGGGCAAACCACATGCATGACACATCGTTGACCTCAATGTAAGCTCGACAAGGGCCGTCCGCCGTAGCTAACTGGCTCACATCAAAATACCAGTCCCTGATCACAGCAAGTACTAGAAACACTTCCTGGGCCCGTATTCAGGTCGACGGCGTAACTTAAGTTTTACTTAAGTTGCGCAAATGCGTAAGTAGTTTTTGTATTCAGGTTGACGGCCTAAGTATCATTTTGGCGTAAGTACATACTTAAGTAAAAATTGTTCAATTCCAGACAACTTACGTAAATCTTGCATTATGGTATTCAGGTCGAACGGCGCACGTAAGTGAGGCGTATATTTTTTTTTTCATCGTCGTTTGGTCCATAAAGCACCACCAGAGTACATCTGAAATATCCATCGAACTCGACATTCATAATGATGTAGTTACCTAAATCGTCCGAAACATAACTATGAACTATCACCGGCGCCCCAGGGCTGGGCAATACCACTATGCCTCTTGAATTACCGGATCCACAACTCATGAATACATCAGTGCCCCACTCCGAGCGAATCCTATCCTTCATTTCTGGGGTAATGTGCGTGTCCACAAGACAATACAGTGCGCAGCTAAGTCCCTTAATGTACTGAAACACGTCTCGTCTCTTTTTGAACTGACGTATCCCTCTAACGTTAACGCTAAGCACTGTTAGACTCATACTCATTCTCTATCCTTTTTGTGTGACTTGATTGCGTATTTGACAAAATAAAAAAGGAAACTGATGAAAAGCAAAGCAATAACATAGACGAAAAAATCAAATACAGCTCGTTCACTACGTCGCTCGTCGGAAGGATCCAAAGCATCGCTACGTTCCGTGGATGCCACCTGCCTGCAAGCACAAATAACATAAAGAACACTTGCTGATCACCAGTCAATACCAGTGCAAATACCTTACAATGGTACCTTAGACACCTTACCAACAAACGACGCGTAATAACTCGCGCAACATATAACATCGAGCCTATGAGACTGCGTAGGGTATAACTCAACAGAAAAACTCCCGTATGTCCCGTGAGCCCCCACTAGGACCACGAGACGGCTGCGACGATCGGACCACGTCGGCAGACAAACGGTCCTCTACTGGACCCGAACCTAGTGACTGCTCCGACACCTTAACACTTCCCCGCCCCCGAGCAGGCCCCTTAGCTCTCGTTCCCCCCTGAGCAGACGCACTCGCTCCCAGGTCCCCGTCGTTCCCGCCAGAGCGCCGAGTGCGCTCCTCCCTCTGCAACCCGCCGCCCCGCGACGAGAGCCCCATCGCCCCCTCGGAGGTGGCCGGAGACACAGTCTGCATTGGAGACTCCCCGCCACCAGACTCACATGATAGAGTGGCGACAGACCGGTCACCAGCCACGTCGCCGGCGGGGGTCAGGCTCTCCTTGTCTTTGTCCGCCTCTCTAGAGCACACTGAGTCTCTAGGAGTAGACTGCATCCCCCCCGGCGGCTGTCGGTGATCTCTGCCTGGTGTCCCAGTAACACCGCTGACCCCATTCCCCGTCGGCACAGCCGCAGCATCAGCGGTGGAGGCGGCCTGCAGCGGCGGCAGCAGGCGCACCTGCCGTACCGGCTCTCTGGCGCAGTCTAGCAGAGAAGACGACGAGCGCCGACTCCTGTCCTCCGTGACGTCATCGGGAGACACCCCGGCTCCGCCGGCTCCCTCCTCCATCGAGTGTCCGGAACGCGCGGCGGGAGTTCCTCTTAGCTCTCTTCCACGATCCCGATCTCCAGTTCCAGGGTTGAGGCTGGGAGACGTCCTTGTTTCCGCCTGGGCTCGAACTTGAGACGGGCCATCCGCGGAGCGCCTCAGATACGACACTCGGCCGTTCGTTTGGGTGTGCTCTCGCTCCGGTTGATGGGGCGGACGGGCTCCCGATAGCTGACGCACAGTCTCCTCATTACTGACTCTGATCGGGGCGGAGTCACGTGTCTTACAAGCAAGTACGTTTCCAGACCTGGTGAAGACTGAAAAGATGGCCTTTTCTTTTTTCAGTTGCAGTAGACTCTGGAACAGAGCCTGTCTTCTTGGAGTCAGGGACTCCGAGATGTACAGTCCCGATCCTTTCAGCTTTGATTTGGAACGGAACATCACATCCCTGTCTGAGCCCGGTGCCGCCGAGTAGAAGTCCATCATAATTTTCCCGCTTTTCAGTCTGAAGGCTGCCCTTATTTGCGCTCGTTCGACATCGTGCTGCATGTACCGATGGATTAAGGCACAAATCAACTCAGCTGCATCCTCCCGTCGATTTTGGTTCAGCACGGCTGGGCCCGAGAACAGAAGACAAGTCAGTCTTTTTTCTTGCTGCACACGGTCCTCCTGCAGTTCTAAACGCTGCAGACGAGCTTCCATGTCTGCCGTCCCCCGCCGTAGCTGCAGGATATCCCAGTCGGCAGACTGCTGACGAGCTGCCAGAGTCGATATCGAATCCATCGCAAACGATATGGATTGTTCTATCGCTGCGATGCGCCTTTCGTTGGTGTCTTTAATGGCGGCCACACACTTTGCATTTTCACTGACAATAAAATCTTTTAATTCCGCACACAGATCACTCTGGCGCTGATCCGGCTCAGCACCGGCTCCTCCCTGACTCTGCTGTAGCGGCGAGCCGGCCTTGCGTTTTTTACCCATGGTCAGTCACTGATGAGTGCAGACCAACACCAGAGGTCCCGCGAGCAGCTCTGACTGCAGCTCCAAACCGGCCCGTCGATGAAGCTTCACTTTCGTAGCCGGCCACCAGAGGTCAGTGTCCTTGTCCCTTCCTGACGGAGGCCAGCTCAAACTCGGCCGACCAAGAGCCGGGGGCGCGGCCGCCTGACCCGCCAGACGTAAACAACCGTCGGTCTCGAGTGACGTCTCTAGATGCTAGACGTCACCGAGGCCATCCCAGCCAATCCTGTCCCGAAGCTGGGTGCAAGTGACGTCATACCATGAGGGTCCCGAGCGTGACCCGCGCTGCTCGGACCAAGGCTGGGTCACCCTAAACAAAGACACTTCTCCGACTCTAGATCCTATCGTCGGGAGTGTACACTTGCCGATTTTACTCGACGCACTTCTAAGTCGGTCTAGGAAAAAGCCCAGAGCCAACTCTGGTCTAAATCGGATAGAAAACACAAATATATGCGGAGCGCTCACACCCGCGACCAATCAGGACGACGGTGGCGCCACCACTCGTGAGGCGTATATTTGGCATTCATGTCAAATCTACTTACGATTGGCGTAAGTATGTCCATTTGTTTATCATTGTGAAGTTACGTGTGCTCCGGAGGACACGTAAGTCATTTTTTGAATAGAATGGAAGCTTGAATCACGCATTTATGAATGTATGTGCATGCATTCATGCATGCATGTTTGATGACGTAGCTTCGTAGCTAATTAGTTACATATTACTTAATAAACTTTCACTCGTTTTTATCTTAAAATCTTAAAAATATATCTTAAAATGTATACACATATTAAAATAAATATATATATTACATATATAAAAAAATATATACACATATTATGACGTCTTTTCCGGCCGACGTATGGTGGCTAGGAAATTCATTTGTTGAGACACGAGCCGGTGTCAAATTAACCGGCGCCCCGTTGGGGTCTGCCGAGCCACGCGCCCTGCTGGGGGGGGGGGCAATTTGCCCCCTAAGATCTTGAGAACCACGCGACATAGCGACAAGCGGCAAACGGTGTTGGATAGCCCCAACAGGGGCCTATCTTGTGACGCAAGTTCATTGACCTAGGTCAAACCGATGACGTCACAGGTCAGGTCAAATGTCGAATTTTCACCGTTTACAGGCATTTCAAGAAATGCGTTGTAAAATCGAGTAAAATGCATTTCATTGAAGATCATCGATGGAAAAATGTTCGACAAAGCCACAATCTTGGGGAAATTTTCTGGACCTGGAAACAGCTCTCAAACGAAAGGAGAAACATGGAAAACGATACAGGAAGAAATGCAGGCGGCAACCGCGATCAGCCGTACCACTGATGACTTGAAAAAGAAGTGGAACGACTTGAAGCTTCAAGCCAAGAAAGATGTAGGCAGGTACAAGGCCGAAACAAAGAAAACCGGCGGAGGACCTCCACCGCCACCTCCCAACAGCCTGAGCATTAAGATAGTTGAAGTGATCGGGGAGGAGGCAGTTGACGGTGTAGTGGGGGGCGTGGACACGTCGGAAACTGTGGAAGATGTAACCAACGGCGACCATCCAAGCACTTCGCAGCTTCCACCGAAGAAACGTCCGCGAAGGGGGGAAGGGGAAGAACACCGGTCCCGGGTGGAAGCTATGCTGGCGGTCCAGAAAGATATTCTGGAGGAGCTGAAGAAAATCACTGAAGAACAGCGCCTGCAAAGCTTCGCCCTTAAGCGAATCGCATCGGTGATGGAATGGCGACTGGGTGCAGGAGACTGTGCTCCAACTATGTCCCACACCAGCCTGTAAATGAGAGCGGGCGGAAAGCTTGTTTGAGATTGTTACTACGTGTCGTACCTACATGTTTCGTCTATTTCTCTGGAATACAACAAGCCATACTCGTATTTAGCTGACTTATCACGCGCATTGGAAGAGTTCGGAGAACTACGGCCATTGAAGGGGAGGGGGGGGGGGACGAATGTCGACCCCTAAGATCTCAGCTTCTATGGAAGCTTTAGAGACGAAATTTGGAGGATGCATGTGGGGGCGGGGGAACCCTACTGTGCCCATTGACATCAAAACTACAAATGTTCAAATGGACAATGGTTGCCAAATTCGACATTATCTCCAAAAAATATCCTAGTACCTAACATGATGGGCTCGAAAAGTGAACTAAGGTCGTCTTAGGTCAAGGACATTGACCTGATCTTCACTTGACCTTGGCACAGGACACCACAGGTCATGGGAGGTCCCCTACAGTTTGTTCGACAACGACTTTAGATAGAGATAGGCTAGAGCAGTGAAAGTACCTCAGATGTGTTCAGCTCAACTATACGGATCGACTGATATGCAAAAATACCTTTTTTGGTCAGGTCATGAGATTGACATGAGGTCAACTTTTCAAAATGACCTGTCAATGTCAAATTAGAGTGAATTTGACTCGACGGCTCGACGAGAGGAACACGATGCTAGTAAAAGTAATGTCGTTACTCTCTTGAGTCAACAGTTTTTACCGAAAACTTTTTTTTATAAAAATGATTATTTTTAGTTTTTTTGCCCTATGGAGGCTTAACTGTTGACCTGAAGTCAAATCTTAGGGCACAATCTAGGCGTTAAAAAGGCTATCGAATGCGCTTTCCTGCGGCTCTGTAGCTCCTCTATTGGTGGTCCAGAATTATGCGTCGGTTTTTCGAAAATTGTTTGAAATAGGCGAAATTTGACCTTTGATGACCTCTGCTGACCTGACTTTTGACCTGACCTTAACATGCCAGTGGTATTTCCTTGCTTATTTTTGCTGCTCTTCCAGGAGCCAAGTTAGACGGGGGCCTACAAACGCCTCCCCCCCCCCCCCCCCAGCACGAGACGGAAAACTCAGACCACCAGCACGGCGAGGGTTAACCCTAGGGTTTCCTAGGGTTAACCCTCGCTCTAGGAAACCCTAGGGCTTCCTAGGGTTTCGGCGAGGGTTTCCTAGCTCGGCCACTTCGAAAGTTATTCGAGAAAAAAATCTCTTCATATCAGGCGCCGCCATTTTGACCTCTGTGACGTCATCTTTGACCTGACCTGAAAATGACCTTTGTAAAAATTGTAGACCCTGCCCGTGCGCACCCCATGCCGTTTACCACTTGTCGCTATCTTGCTTCGTTTTCGAGATTTCAGGGGGGCGGTCATCCGCCCCCCCCCCCCCGTCGGTTCTAAGTTGGCGCAGACCCCCGTCGGTGCGCGGTTTAAGCTGCGAATGGATGCTTGGTGAGAATGCATTTATCACAATTTAGCCATAATGGTGTTAGTCCGGCCTACGAAATAAACATGAAACACTTTTGTCACTCAGTCCGGCCTACGAAATAAACATGAAACACTTCTGTCACTTTGTCACTAAGGAATTCAAGCAATGTCGATGGTAATAGCAAATAAAGCAATCGAGTTTCCATCCATAGCCAATGGGAAAATACCGTAGGTAGATTATTTACTTACGCATTAACTTAAGTATGTCAACCTGAATACCAACTGGCGTAGGTTTTACTTAAGTTTTTGACCAGAATACCAAACTTACTTACGCTGTTCGACCTGAATACCAAATGGCGTAAGTAGATGGCTTCGGCGCAAATAATACTTAAGTATGTCAACCTGAATACAAATTTTGTACTTACGCAAAAATATGTACTTACGCCGTCGACCTGAATACGGGCCCAGCTGGTACTCGCTCGCCCCAAACATCTCAGCGCCTGACCAACACGGTACTCCACAGAAACCGGGTACATACCGCACACACAGAGGAGGAGGGCCTCATCACAGCGCGGCATTGGAGAGGGACGAGTACGGGAGGCACTGCCGGGGAATGGCAGTCACGTGGCGGGCCCGGGTCGGACAGGGAAGAGGCGGGGGTCGGGCCGGGGAGACACGGGGTCGAACAGTAGCGGCCCGGTGTCCCACCGGGTACAGTCGAGGGCTGTAGACGGA